GGTTTATAAAACCAGTTTGTGCTGGCTAATGTTGATTAGCTGCGGCGGCCATCTTGAATGTTTTGGTTTATAAAACCAGTTTGTGCTGGCTAATGTTGATTAGCTGCGGCGGCCATCTTGAACAGGCTCGACTCCAATCGTTAATCAGATGTAAATATAGACCCAATAATTATTTACTGAGGGGGTTTTTTATCCATCCAGTGGTTCGTTAGATATTTTGCTAACAGAAGGGCATGCACAAACAATATGGGGGGGGGGGTTACAGTTTTACTTGAACCTGGGCTGAGAGTCTTGTTCTATCGGGCAGTTTAAAAAATGTAAACATTTATATAAAACTGTACATTTAAATCTGCAGAACTAAAACCAGAGAAATTATTAAAGTGACGTAATATTTTCTGATGGTTGTGGACATGACTCGTTTTAACAGCCTCTCGTGTTTATGTCTGACCCTAAACTCTCGGCAGACAAGAACTGAAATCTAACAAGATGTGAAATAAATTCCTGAATCGATTTGGGAAAACTCGTGACAGAAAACACTCTGAACGAGGCAGATCTGTTCCTGAGCGTCACACGGACCAGGTGAGGGTTTGGAGATCAATGAGCTGAAGACTGAAGCAGGAAAACATGGAGGGAGGAGGTGACGGAGCGGAGAATTTCAATTCATATAGAGTCTCTTGGATTGTTTTATCTTCTTTTTCAGATAAAACGTTGACGTGTGTGTGTGTGGGGGGGGGGGGTGTCAGGTGATTGAGGCAAGTCAGGAAATTGTGCCTGAAGCCTCACGGTCATCTCACCACTTGAAATATCTGTGTGAGTTTCCAAACATCAGCTCCTCGGAGAGAAAATACTGACGTGTGGAAACAGAAATCACTCAGAGCTCAAAGCTCCTGAGGATGAACTCTGTGGGTCCAGAGGAGGTGGATCTGCATCCAACACTGGATCCTTTATTAAAGCAGTTTAACTTCAGAATAAGTAAGAAGTGTTACTGTGGCAGTAATACATCAATACACCACGTACTTACTGGGTAAGCATTGGATACCTTCTAGGATTTCACCTAATACTTACCAGGTATGACACCAGTACTCACATGGTACGTCCCGGATACTTGTATGATATGTAATAAGTACCGGGTAGGTACAGACTTATGCAGGGGTACTGACAGGGTGCCTACACTTGTCCAAATAAGAACTGGTTCTTAAACATTTTAACTGGTAAAATGAAGATCAAATAAATAAATCAAAATAAACTTGACACCCTGCACGTAAAAGGTTCTTAGCTGGTACCTACCAAGTACCCAAAGTACTGTACTGTTGTTTGTATTGGTACCGTCTCATGGCCTAAATGTTTTTAATTACCCAAATTTAGGTTTGACAATAAAAATATGTTCTACACCTGATCACCACTTTGTGTAGTTTATATTTCTAAAATCTGATTATTTATAGGCCAAATTTTGGAAGAAAAATTAAATTGAACCTTATTTATTGGAAACAGGAGATGCAACTAGATGTACCGTAACCATAACTTTATACAAAGATGTACTATTGAATATAATGCGAGCTAAAAGGTAGAACTTTACCTTCTGTCTTATACAGTTTTATGATGAATAAAAATAATGAAACAAAATATTTCCAGTTTGTTTTTGTAAATGGCTGTTTATTGTAACGAATGGTTTTGCCATTTTGTGAAGATAAAAAAACAGAACCATAGATCTGTAGATATATTTGATCTTGGTCAAAGTTTCTGAGTGTGTTTAAATACCTGCCGTCCAGCTGAGGTGGAGCTCTGGGACATACTGCCAGGACTGTTGGAGTACTTGTTCTTCTGGAGGTCCATCAGGGCGTCCCGCTGCCGCTCGATGTCCGCCTTGTGGATGCTGTTCAGGGCCTCCAGGCTTTTAGCGGCCACAGAGTTGTGCCGGCGGTCCAGTGAGGATGACATGAAGCCCCCGTTGCTGTTGTCCTGGAAGCGCCGCGCCCCTCGGCCGCCGCCGGCAGCCAGGGTGTGGAAATCCCGCGGGAACTCGGCATCACCGGCAGAGATCATGGGATCCTTTCTCTTCTCTCGACCTGCGGATGGAGGAGAGGAAGTGAAAACACGAACGCTGAAAATGTTTTTGTGATAAGATCAGCTCTCTGAAAACACGTCTGTCATGTTGAGTGTTTTTTTAAAGTTGGTAAACCAGAACCCATTATATCTCTGCTCAAAACATCAAACTCATATCTTACTTTAGATAAAACAAAGCTGGCCGATGATGACAGAGTCCATATTTTAATAAATCAGTTTAGTGAAATACAAAGAATGTTAAATCTACAGTTCATCAACGATAAAACCTTGTGGTCAACAGAGTAAACAAGCAGAGGCGACAGGAGCTTCGAGTTGCTCAACGTTGATGGTTACGAATATCCCAGAGCAACTCGCAGCCCAAACCATTAACACCTGAGCAGCAGAGAGCGTTAATGTGTCGACGAACAACGTTCTGACAGAAACAGGTTCCTCAAGTCTGCAGAACAGAAATAAAACATCTGCACGGAGCCGTTTTCAGTCTTCTGTTGGGCTAAACACGTTCTCACCACAATAAATACACAAAATGAGCATGAGAGAAACTAAAACCCAACAAAGCACACCTCCGATGAGACACATCTGTCTGCTTCAACAACCACATCTGTCCTGGGAACCCCGAGGCGAGACAAAACAGCCGTGAAGGAAAAATCTAATTTTATTTGTGAGCAGGACCGTCTCTGATGTGTGACACGCTCAGTCAAGGAAAAGTGACATAAATGGAAATGATGCGTCCGTCTCGGGGTCGGGGGGGTGGGGGGTGCCCTCTTGAGACCAATGAGTCAAGAAGCTGCGCTGCTCTGAAGAAGGAGATCAGTTACAGTAAGTTTGCACCTTCAGCTCAAGTTCTGATTCAATAAAGAGTTTCATGACAGCAGAGAAGGGACGCAGCGTAGACAGACGGGGAACCAAACCGGGCCTGGACTCGCGCTTTAAAAGAACTTGTAGAATTTATAAAAAGGTGTTGGAATAAAATTAATCATGTGAAAGGTTTGGTATCAGACTGTCAAATCACTTGAAGACAATGAAACTGATTTAACCTCCATGTTCTGCTCATCCGTGGTCAGTGTCATGGACTCAACAGGTCCAGGAGGGACACAGAGCCCCAGCTCCACAGAGACTCACTCCTGCTCCTTCTTGGAGATCCCAAAGCCATCCCATCCCAGAGGAAACATCCCTCTGGTTCCGAGTCTGCGCTGGGGCCTCCTACCATTGGGACATGTTCAAGAAAAACTCCAGAAGGAGGTGACCAGTAGGCATCCTAACCAGAGCCATTACTAGTAGTTACATGCCTAACTCTAACCCATCCGCAATTCACAACTTAGTCCTAAACCTAAACCCTAACCCCCCAACGAGACTTCTCCTTATGGGGACCTGGCTTTGGTTCAAGAGCAGATGGTTCCTACAATGCATGAGTTTTGTAAAATCGGTCCCTACAAGTTAACCTGAAACAAACACACACGCAGTGGTGGCCATCTTGGATTTTGACATGCCAACCTATATTTTGGTAGATAATCTTCTTATATCCAGATGCAGCTACACACCAAAATGGAAGTCAGTACTTCCCTCGTGGTTCAAGTTATCATGCTCACACCGTGCACAGACAGCATTTCCATTCCCCCTCTTCGCTCCGTGACGGGCCACAATAAAAAGACTCTTGATATTAAACTATGACAAAAATATTTTGTCAAAGACACGAACACCAAGTGAACATGTTGCAGTATAATTTTGCCTTTGGAAGAAGCAGCCAGGAGGTACAGAATATCCCTCTTTACATATTGTTACTTTAAAAGACAAGTATTCTGAAGTAAACCGTGTCATCAGTAGGTTTCAATGGTGTGGTTGCATCAAGACCTTTAAAATTAAAATTAAGGCATTAAATCTTATTTTTTTCCATAAACCAGACATGTTTGCGTTCTGCAGATTCTGCCTGACAACAGCAGGGTTTGTAAAGAATCTGAGTTTGTCGCAGACGTGAGTTTTCTGCTGGGAGCAGAGCAGCATGCCGGTGAGTATCCATGGCAGAACGAGAAAAGGAGGTTATAAAACAGAGGGGGACTCTGGAGTCTAAGGAACATCCAGACGGAGGCCTTGTCACTATAATTTATGTGAAGCCTTGAGCAAACTCCTTCACTGAGTGTGAAGAAACGTGCGTGTGTGTGTCTGAGGTGAGCCCATGTTCTGTTCTGCAAATGTTCTGAAGAAATGTTCTGCACGGAACGTCCTGAAACTGTTACAGTAAAGATGAAGCCTGGGATTAAGATTTCTCTTTGTGCTGAAAATGTGTTTTCATCCTTTGACACTAAAAGTATTGCAGCTATAACATCACTCCAGACTTTAGTTTTCTTCTTCATGCATATTTGAGTTCACATCTTTAGGACGCCTCCCAGGAGAGGAGCTCTGGACATGTCCAACTGGGAGGAGACCACTGGGAAGACCCAGGTCACAATGGAGAGACTACATCTCTGTGAACTGAACAGACGGGGGAACCGGATGGAAGGATGGACATCTACTGGATCTGTTCTCTTCTCTCTTAATATTAATAAAACTGTGAGTGGTCCAAAACAAACAAACACCAATTTATAGCAAAGAAGGGATAAATACGGAGCTTAGAAGAAAATAAACATATGAAAGAAACAAAAACTAGAATTTAAACTTCAAATTGTTGTTACGACTCTAATTTCAGGTTAAAGATATTTATTTATTTAATTTCGAACAGACAATAAAAAGTAAAAAAGACAAAAGAAAAATAATAACAGTCATGTCAATTGACATGCTATTTTACACAATTTGTTTGAAAAGGAGCAGGTAGAAGATATCAACCTTATGATTTCCTGCCCCCTCATACACATCGATATACAATCATTTTAGTCTCCCCACACCTAATAACTCTTATAATACTCACATTCTCATCGTTCAATGTGCAATTATTTACACATTATTAATATCAGCAATAGCAGTTTTGGTCTTTGACTCCCATCCTATACAACATATTTTTCAATGAGCTCATTTTATAGTTTTTTAAGGGCTTGTGTTTGAACTTTGTTTGAGCTCATCATTTAATTCATTCCATACATCTACTCCACACTCTGATATACAAAAACTCTTTTTGGTTGTTCTACATTGTTTTTTAAATTTTTCTTCTTCTCTTAAATTATAATCCCCCTCTATATGAAATTATTTTTAAAAAATCATATTTAAATAAGTTTTTTTTTTATTCAATTTAATCTCTTTTTGCCTATTAGTTTCAGAAGAGTCTGTTAATTCTCTCTAGAAATACCAAGTTTAAAGTGTTTAAATAAAAACACCAGTGTTTATAGTTTGGGCTCATTTTGTCTAAATCCTGATCTGCTTTTTAAACTCTTTACACGTCAGTTCAGAGCAACTTTTCCTCCCAGGTCCAGGCCGTTGCTCCTTCATGTGTGACGGCAGCTACAGCGTTACGCTCCATTTTTCCCTGGACTCCCTTCACGTCTTCACTGCTGCTCCTTGTGGCGGTTTAATGGGCTGCCACCAACTCCCAGCATGCCCCTGGCCTCGCCTGGGTCATTACGGCTCCTCTGCTGCCAGCTGAGGAACTAGTCTAGCTGATGAATTGCCCTTTAATCGTCTGATTTTCTGCACCGTGTTGAATCTTTACTGCAGAGGCAGATCCCCGTTGGGTGGACGTCATATTTCAGCCTCACAAAACAAACATTTATTTCAACATTAAGAGGAACTCTGTTCAGGATTTAATGCATAAACTGATGAATCTATCTTTAATCTACATAAAAGATTAATTATTTTGATGTAGCTTAGATGCATAAAATCTTGTGTGTGCAAGTTTAAATGTATTAAATCTCCTTAATGACTAATGTGTTGATTGCTCAGCTTACTTCAGACGCCACAAGAACCAAGAACGTTGTTCTGTTTACTCGAGGTGGTAAGAACGAGAACGGTCTGTTCTGGCCAGGACGTCTCGTACTTCCTGAGAAAATCAAAGAGCAGAACTCCTGAGAAGTGAAACCCCGCCCACTTCAAATGTCTGACCAATCACACAGCCGTGGTCAAACACCAAACAAGAAAAAGGCTTTCCCCCGAGATTGATAATTCATTTATTTATTTATGTTTTAACCTAACCCAGGCCTCTACGTGGTCCTAAATTTTATAAAAAATTAGTCTGAAAGATCATGTCACATGTCATCCCAGTTGTACATCATTGAAGAGTGACAGATGTCACAGTTCTGAACTGGAAAACGCAGGAAAATCAAATGTAAACGTAGAAGGAAACCAGCAGGGCTGACATCGTGGATGGAGCTAGTCCGTGGAAAGAACAAAGGCTCTGGACTTCGTGTCTGGGGTGACAACTCTGTTCAAAGTAGACTCAAAGGTTGTGAAGTGTCCCGTTATGACTCGAGGTCGTGAGGTGATGGGACCGTGTGACGTCGTGTCTGCTGCGGGTCACTTCAGGGTCGTGGACCGTCCAGGAGTCTGATGAAGGTCAGAGTTTAATTATAATGTGAATAAAGTAAATCAGGTTTCAGCTCCATGTGAACAGCGATGTCACTTTCCTGAATCTACATGC